ATCTCTTTACTGATAATTTTGGGCTATGACTGAAGAAAACTGAAGACCTCCTGAATTACAGTAAACTAAACTGGAGCTTGCTGTTCTAGAATATGAGTAAAGACATAGATATAGATATAGAATAGCATATTTTGTATCTGACAGCATTGAAGGAAAAAATCATTTTGCACTAGAAGAGCAATTGGGGAAAAAAGCTAATAAAATATTAGGAAGAATAGGCTGATTTGTAGACAACCGATCAACAGAACATACAACTTGGCTAAGCAAAGAATAAGGGTAGGGGGAAGGAAAGGGTGGTGGATAACTGTCTGAACAATTTAGAGTCATATAAACATAAAATGGGAGGAGAGCATTATTTAGCCTGGTACAGTAAGTATATACAAGTAACAGGACAACTTAAAAGAAAAGTTTGTGCTAAAGATCAGGAAAAACTTCCTGACTGCAAGATCTATCAGATTGTTATTCAGTCTCCTGAGGAAGTGACGAGAGCTTTATCCTCTAGAGATTCTTAAAATTAGAATGACAAGGTACTAGAAAGCATCCTGTAAGAGAAAAATCCAACTCTGACTTGGCCACTTGGAAAGTTACAAGGGAAGTAGAACACAAAAATATACATAGAAAGACAGTAATTTAAAGTGAAAAGTGGGGGACTTGAGAGCCAGAAAACGTTGTAGGTGTTAAAGAACTACACTATCACAGGGTATCATTACATACATGAGGATATTTTACTCAAAAGGAAACAAAGTATTTATAATTTCACTGACTTAAAAATTTCAGTTCAAATAACACTATTTTGAAAACTCAATTATTAAAAGGAAAAGGAGCATATTTCCAAATGAAGTTTTAAAACATCATAAAAATCAAGTTTTAATGGATGAGACCAAACAAAGTTAAGATCCCTGCTTCTAAAAATGTGGCATGGTCAATTTCTAGGAGATAGGCAATTATATGATAAGAAACACTTCTAGTAACTTTGTTAAGATAGCCATGATGTAAAAAAAAAAGCGCTTCTCCAATTACCTCTGGAAAACCATTAAAATATCCTGCTGCTTCTGTAATCCGTATCAGTTTGGTAGGCAATTCACGCCCATTTCTAGCTGGCTTTCAGAACAGGCAACCACATTATTTTACTCAGATTTTCCAACTGTTTTCCCTGGAATCACAATGCCCCCCAGGGAAAATATGTAAAATATATCATTTAAGGGCTTCAAGAATGTATGCCTCAAATATCATTTTCTAAACTGCAAGTTTTAAAAAACCCTGTATGTTAAGTGGTATTACCAGGTTAACATATTTCTATAATGATTCAAATAAAGCTTTTTCTTGTCATCTCACTGAATAATATGAACCACATATAAACGTGCCATCAATCTGGAAGACTACATAACTCTATACTTTTTTAAAAATTTACTTCAGACTGTACATGTTGACTCATATAAAACTGTACAAGTGAGTATAGTATAGTATACTTATATGAATTAGGATTTTATACTGAACAACTAGAAGAAAAAACATGAAACCGAATAGAAAGCTAGCACTGTAATCGTGATCCCCACTTTCAGTTTAGTATTTATCAAATGATTGATTTTACAAGTGAATGTTACAAATAATTTCACCTTGCAGATGACTCTGGAAGCCCTGAAAATAGCACATACAGGAATGTTTTGTTTCTTAATCAAAAGCATTATTAGCATTGTTGGCAGAAAAAGTATCATGAGTAAAAATGCTAATTACTAGGTAAATGCATATAAAGCCACAAGTTTCCACACTCACTTTAAAAAATTTGCTTAAGTTAAACAAGCTTAAAGCTTTAGCATTAAAAAAAAATGCCAATACATCAAAAACCTTTTTTACCTACAAATTAAAAACAATAAAATCCACAAGTCCTAGACAAGACAAAGCTTCATTTATTTCAGCAAAGATCTTTATAACAAAATTCTACTGGCACTGCCCCCGAAAAACCACTGTTCTAGAATATAGCCTGAAATAATTTATTGAGTCCACTGAAAAAGCATTCTCTCCTGTCTCTCAGAAGAAATTCCAATTGCCGCAGGACCCCTTAACTCTCAGGGAGACAGACAAGCATCTAGGAGGGTTAGAAACAATCAGGATATATTTTAGGACTGTATGCAGCCATCAATGCAAACTGAAGAGCAACAATCATATACTTTTTACTACTTTTCAAGTGCCGTTCTAAAAGGTGAAAAATATACTCTCCAGGTCACAAAGAAGTTACAAACCAAGATGGTACTCATCACCTGCTTAGATTAAAAAACAACAACAACAACACAACAAACAGTTCAGATATACTACATAAAAAGAGCAGCTACCACGAACATAGTCTGAGTTTTAAATGGATGGCCACATCTTTAAAAACGGGGTTGGGGGACCTGGGAAGCAGAGATGAAGAGGAAGAAAAGGGAGTAAATGAATGTGTTAATTTAACTGCAAAATAATAACAGGATATAAAAGAGTTCTGAGAATCCAAAGTGACCAATCAGAGCCTAAACATAGCTGAATTCCATCCCAGCCCCAGCACGTCCCTGACACAAGAATAAAACCCTTCTTATCTTGTTCAGCCATGTGTCGCCTGCCACAAACTGCAAAACAGAACAACGCCCAAAACCAGCTAGTCTGATTTCAGCTGAGGACAGACAGACTCTGTAGTCAGAAAACACCACAATGAAAGAACTCTTAACTCACACAGCTGGCCTGGTGGGTCTGCACACTCTACAAAACAAAGCCATACCACATACAGTACTTCAAACTTGAAAGGATCTTTAAAAAGCTACACTGGCACTGTTAATTTGCCAGTTGCTGTAGAATCAGCAAAATACACCTACAGCATCCTGGAGTTAGGCAGTGAGAAGAGGATGAGGTAGGTAATGGCTGAGAAGTTAGGAAAAATTTTACACTCACAACTTTTGTTAAGGCATCCTGGTACAGAAATAATACTAAACCAGTACTTTTTACCCCAATATATATTCATATCAGGGACAACTACTCTCCTAAGAGTCAATGCATGCTTGATAGTACAGAACAAGGTATGTTTTTTTAAAAAAGTCATGGTCACATGAGAGTAATTCTTGTGGGGGAAAAAAAAAACCTAGCAGTAAACTCCTAAGAAACACATATCCATGCTGTCTCAGCTGTGCATTAATTACTACATTAAGTGGCTTTCAAAGCTTTTTTCCTTTAAAAAATATATAATGTCAGGTAGCACCTAAAATAATTTGAGGCTGTTAATACCCAAATCAATTTGCAGATTCATCTTAGAATACTCATCTTTTTAACCCTTTGTCCTTGGCACAGTGCCTGGCAAAGAATAGGCATTGATTAACTGCATGTATCTCACCTAAGTTATAAAAAGGACACAAATCCCAAGATCTTATTCCCAAGATAGTGGAAAGAGAAAATCTCTGAGAAGCAAAGAGGAAGAAAGGTCATTAGTTGGGGGCTGTTTCTACAAAATTAAACACTCTACACTCCTAGTATTGCAATGGAAACGACCAACACTACATTAGTTTCTAACATGACCTGTCTCAACAGAGAGGGCAAGAACTGAATGAACTAGGGAAACAATTACCCACACACCTGTGGAAGTGACTTCTCAGAAGCAAAACACCCTGAAAGGAAAAAGAATGGGAATAACTAGAAGAAATCATGATAAGCATTGCTACTACTCATGTTAAATGTACCCTTGGAGAGGCTGAAAATTAAAATGCATTTAAAAAAAATACGCAAACAAAGAATAAATAGTTTAAGTATTTAATGGAATCTTTTAGGTGAACATTCATGTGATACTGGAAAGCATCAACAGGAAGAGGAAGTTCTGTTTCTGGAGTAGCTGTTATGGTATGATAATGGAATTTGGCCCTTTTAAAATCAACAAATGAGTCTTACAATTGGGTGAAACTCTCTTATTAGGAAATTCAACTACTTTCTGCAGGAGCACTGTTGTTGCACTTCTCATCAAAGTGCTTTTTCTGGTCCCTTTCTTCAGTTATTTGATCTTTTTTTGTGTGCGTTTCATGATGTAATAGTTTGAAGGCTGACCAAAAAAAAAAAAAAAAAAAAGCTGACTGAAACTCGGTACCTGGATAATTAAACTGAGAAACAAAGTGTAGTAAAGGATGTGCTTTTATCACTTAACCTAATATTCCAAAAAATAACTCTTAAGAGTAAGGAATTCCACTTAAACCACAAGTGATCTAGCTCAATTTACCAACTACCACCAAGCAATACAGGTTAAGTACTAGAAAGGACTCACTCAACTCAACAAAGCCACCTGCAAGGTTCTATTATATAATTCGCTTAGCCTTTATACCCCTTAAATGCAAATGTTTCTGGAAGATGAAATTCTGAAAATGCAATAATTAAAATCTAGCCCCATGATGTTCTCTCGCCTTTTTTTTTTTTTTTTAGCTCCTTGATATTGTCCTCACCAGCAGCCTGTGACTTCCTACGAGTTTCAACATTTTGGAAGACCATTAGATAATAAACACTGTACAAGTTAGTACTGAAAGGAGATCAAATTCATAAATCATCATGTGGCAGTCTGAGAATGAAGTGCACAAAGAGAAATTCCTATAATGCAACAGTGCCCAGAGAACTACAGGACAGGAAAAACTGATGAGGGACCAACACCCCGGCCGATTTCGGGCACTGACCTTCACCCAAAATGACCTTCCTCTGGTTCCAAGATGAGTACAGAATTCTAATGCACACTACAGACAGAAAAACACGGTCATGGTTTTACCTACCCCCTCCACCGAGAATCTGGAAAAAGTTTCTCGCCAGAAAAAAAAAAAACTACATTTCCAAATTCAATCAACCGGGTAACTTGGCAGCAACCCCAGACTAATTGCAGAGCTCCGAAACAACCCTCATCCCGATGCCTTGTCAACTTCACTGGTCAAAGGCAATCGGCAATCACTGACTCTCCGGCTAGGTCGGGCCCCATGCAGGGAGGCTAAGCGCAGGGGGAGCTTCATACCAACCTGTCGGTGATAGTAGACTGTGTGCCACTCATTGGGGCCCGTGGCGAGAGATCCTCCTTTTAGCCAACTTGCATTTTACAGTAACACCTCCACCCCACCCCCAGTGCTCCGGGATCAGGCCCGATTCCGCAAGGAACACAAAAGTTCAACTCAAAACTCCATTCAGTCATCTAGAACGTCCGACTGGGGGGGGGGGTCACGGAAAGGGGATGTGGGTGGGAGCGAAGCAGGTTATCTCCCAAAACAAACCGAGCAAGTCGGTCAGAAGGCGAGTCCTAGAACTAGAGAGCAATCCTCGGGAAGGCACAGGAGAAAACTTCGTCACGGAGGGAAGTCGGCGAGCCGCGGGGAAGGGGGCCTGTGAGTCCCTCCAGGGCTGGGGCGGGATCGGTTCGGGGCTGGGTGTCGGCTCCTCCTCCCGGATCTCGGGGCCTGCAAGTCCCCGCCGCCAGGCCGGACACGCTGGGCTCCGCTCTCTATCTGGGGCCGCCGGCCGCTCGTGGCCGCAGCCTCGGCCGCGACTCGGGCCGCCCCGCGCC